AGAAATCCACTGTACATTGATTTTCAACTAGACATCAAAATTCATCAGCTGACCTCCATCAAGACTTTTGCTCCAACTCTGAAACGGTTACAGTGCTGCTCTTGATCCAATAATGTGGCAACTTGACTTTGCCATTAATACTCCTTCCAAATAGCAGTTTTGCAGTACAGTTATCTGAATTTTTTTTTTTTTTTTTTGAAAGGCAACTGAAATACATGTATAAAATGCTATCACATGGAGAGATTCCACCTCCTACATGAACCTTTAGCAGAACTGGAACATTTAGTTCTACCACCATAGTATATCAGTGCAACAAGAACTCAGAGCAAGACCCGAGAGAGGGGAAAGGCAATTTTCCTTTAAACAAGCAAAAAAAGTAAAGCCAATAAGTTGATTCTACCTCCTCCCACCCTTCTATCCAAATACTCACAGGCATCTCTTAGAAGTGGTCTGGCCAGGATCACTTGAGGACGACACCATTGCACCCTCACTGCATGTCCTGCTCCTGGTTGGGAGCTCCAATTGATTTCTTGAGGTCTCTTTTACACTTTCACAGCAGATGCTGTGCTGTGGTGCTTCATTGCCTTGCCCCACCCCCTCAAATTCTTAGGACTACTTGTCCTTATCTGGATGCTTCACAGCTCCACCACCTCCTTATTTTGTTATCTTACCTCTAGAATTTCAGATTGTTCTTCATTCTGTCACTTGTAGGAAACACGGAGCGCTCTGCAGCAATCAATACACGCTGCTCTCATGTTTTTCTTACCCTCACTCACACATCTCAACTCACACCAGTATGTGTATTACTGTTATTACACTGTTATTGTCTGATAAAGATAACGCACCATGAAAACTTCTAATTTTCTGTATTCCAGAGTGAGGAAAAAAAAAACATTTTGCCCACATATTACACAGCTTCTGGCTGCCCCGTTGTAGAGTTTCAAGAATTATTGAGGCAAGTTGCAGATAGTAGTCCTTCTGACCAGAGTTCTTACATCAATACTACTGTGCGAGTCCATTCATGTCTTTCCCACAACTCTCACCCTTCAACATCCATCTTTTCCCTTATGTCACTTCTTACCATTCCATACAGCAGCCACATGCCCTTCCTTTCAGTAAAAAACACAATAACAATAATCAATAAAACAACAACAAAAAACCCAGCCTCTAATTTCAAGCCCCTGTAACACAGAGGAAAACATAGCAACGTCATCAGAGCAGCAAGGTCCCAAGCTGCAGCAAACAAGGATCTACCCAAATACAACAGCCATAGAAATAAAGGAAAGAAGTTACATACCTTCAAAAGGCCTCAAGCATGCAGAGACCTCCAGCAGTATGCCCTCACCTCCACTGGAACTCAGCTGTGTGGTGGTGCTCAGGGGTGGATCCTGGCTTCAGCTGCCAGTCACTCAGATGCATTGTATACACCTGAGCTCCCCTGGTTGCCCTGCCTTCCTAGCAGATGCTCAATCACTGGTTCAAGATGTGACTTAGCGTTTCTGCCCCATTTTTCAGCCTCCAAATCTAGCTTGTAAACACAGCATCCAAAAACAGACTTCAAAAAATAATTTCAGTCCTTCAGCTATTCTTTGGTTTCCGTGGTCAGGCCTCCAACAAAAGATTTCCAAAAAAAATGTCATCCCTCCTGTGGTTTCCATTCTTCATTCTCCAGTTTTTCAACTGTCATTGTTCAGCTTCCATTCCTCCACATGCAAAAAATGGCATCCAATTTTTCAACTGTCATCCTTTGGCTTCCTTTCCCGGACCTCCAATGGACAGCATCTAGAAAATGTCTCTATTCTGCAGGCACCATTCTTCAACCTCCATAGAACAGCCTCCAAAAATGAATTCCATTATCTGGCTTCTAATTGCTTCTAATTTTTCAGCCTCCATTCTGTGGCTTCCAATTGTTTCCACCCATCAGCCTCTGATTTTTTAACCTCCAAAAGACTTTCTCCAAGAGTGCCTCAACTATCCAGCATCCAGTTTTTCAGCTGCCATTCTTCAGCTTCCATTCTTGGGCCTCAAATGAACTCTAAGAACATCCTTCATTCTGCAGGCTACAAAAAATGGCATTCAATTTTTTTGGCCTCTGCTCTGCAGCTTCCAGTTTTTTTAAACTTCCATCCACTCTTCAGCTTCCAAAAAACACTGCATTTCAGAACACGAAAATGTTAATCTATCATGCAACTCTTTCAGTCCGAAAAATAAGACAAAACATCAGT